CCGATCTCCAGCATGTTTTTCGGAAACCTTCGTTAATTCACTTCTTATTTCATTTATGGACATGCTTTGTACCTAAATTAAATTAAAAAAGTTAACGGCAATGATTATAGAAATGTAAATAATTTATTTAATCATTCTAATCCTCATAATAAATATTAATAACTATAGTTGTATTGACGAAGTTATAATTAAGAAGAATTATCACAAAACCAATATAATGTATTCGTCAACCATGAGTGTTTGATAAACGCTATTTATAAATAATAGAGCATCTCTATATAGAGAGCTCTTTATAGAGCGCACTGCAGTTGTTTACCATACAACATTGTAAAATGGTAACATGGTGCTATATTGCATTAAAATTCTATACTATACAATATTTTCAATAGAATTAAAATAATTTAAAATTTGTTAAAAAAAATAAATATATACAATAATATTGTCAATAAAATTAAAATAATTTAAGATTTGGTAAAAAAATAAATATATCTAGTAAAAATATTATTCAAACGTCCAGAGTTCAACTGTTACTTGTACTTAGCAACGATACATGCAAGTGCATTAGGGTACTGGGATAGATAATCTCACTGAACTACGTACATTTTGATAGTCATAGGTTGTTACTGTGAAATCCTGTATAGAAAACAGTCAGTAATGACTGTTATAAGAATGTATCCACTATTGGGAAAAACTAATAAAATAATATCTATGCATGTCTCTGCAAAAACTAAGCTTTGTTGATTCATTAAAAACAACAACTATAAAATAACAGATGAACAAAACAGTAGGCTCTCAATAACCCGACAGATTTCAGACCAGAGGACACTGGATTAATGGAGTTTCACATAAAAGCGCATTTTTATATATGAAAAATCATAATTTCTTTCATTAAAACTTTTACAAGTTAAATAATACAAATTAATATTATTTACATGATTTTAACGACAATACACCGTTTTTTTCGCATTTTTTATATTGTCAGTGTATAGAGCTCGGTGCGTCCATATTAATGTTATAAAATAAAATACATTTGAATATAATTGTTTATAATTAAAAATCTTTTACTGCGCGACACTCATGTTTTGTGCTCTATTCATTTTAATGTACTTTAACAAAACGCGCAGTAAAATTACGGCGCGGTAATATAACGCTAGTGTGTTGCCAGCCTAATAGTTAGTTTTTAATCTGACAACGTTGTACACAATATTTTTTTTTTTTAACGTGCTCAACCGGGTCGTCAAAAAGGTCGGCCGAAACGACCGTGCTCAATCGGGTATCACCGACCGAAAGTCTACTGTACTCGGTATCTGTTCTACTTGAATGTGTTTATCAAATAACGGTCTACTTAGATGCTAATAATATCTTAGCATCGAATATTCGAGTTCGTAATAGGAATCTCAGACTTTATAAAACTAGCGTAGGTACTTATTTGTAACACATACTTCATCTACGATTCTCTGAAAACGATTTGTTTCATCACATCTTAGCTCTATGAATTCATCATTATTTTCACAAAAACTCATCGACGATGGTTTTAAGTGCGGAGTACAAACTATTAACAGAAAATTATTTCGATAAATACATTATACATTCAATACTAATCTTATTGAATTTAAAATAAAAATACTAGATTTAAACTGTTCTTCAGCTGTAAATTTGCTATGTTTCGAGGCCGTACTGGTTGATTGACATAATTTTTCATTCTCCAGAATGTGCTTACTACGTTTGTTCAACAATGATTCCGAGTAACCATTGAGATGTGTTACTGTACTTCGTGTTGTCATACTATCAGTAGTATTTTTAAAACCCTCAACTTGATTAGAGTTATTTGATTGTTGGCTCATTTCCCTAGAGGATACTTTATCAACTGTTAACTCGTTATCCTTACCGATTTCGTTTATTTCTTCTGATAGCTTATCGCTGATAGATTTCACCGATTTTTTTAGTAAACTGATACGTGATATGGCAATTTCAATTTCTCGATTCGTCTTTGTTTTACTTTGGCTTATAAGAATTTTACTTACAGATTTATTTGATATTTTTTCAACTATATTTTCATTCAATTTCAAAGTCAGCGATGAATCATTCGTATTATGATGAGCTGTACTGTCTGTTATTTTTTCGTCATTTTCATGGACTCTATTGATTGCATTGTTGTTTTCTTGAACATTTGCTTCAGGTTGATTTTTATTTATTTCTGATATTTTTTTCTTTGAATTATTTTTGTTCTCAATTTCATCCTTTTCTTCTGGTGTATTTTTATACTTAATTTCCGATGTGTTTTGAAATGATCTTTTTAAATTTCTATCTAAAAATTCACTCTCAGTACTTTTCTTCGTCACTTTATTTTCGTTAGCCAAATCTACAATCTTATTTTCATTTTTGTCATCGGATTTCAAATCTCCAATTTGGGATATCTCTGAAACCTTATTATCCCTATGAATTATTGATTTTGACTGGCTTAACTTGTCATCATTTATTTTGGTTTCAAAGGACTTTTTACTGACATTTGAATCAATTTTATAATTTGTTGGATATTCGTGAACTTTGGTAATTTTTTCCGAACTTAACTCATCCTCTTCAGTTTTCATTATCTCATCCGTTTTGGATTTTCTTAATTTATCTTTTTTAGAATTTGTTAGTATATCTTTTTTAGATTTTTTAAACAACTTCTTTTTAGATTTAATTATATCATCATCCTTTTTGGGTTTTGTTAAATCGTTCTTTTTAGAATTTCTTAACAGATTCTTTTTGGATTTAACTAACTCATTATTTTTTGGTTTCTTTAACTTATCCTTTTTAGATTTTGTTAACTTATTCTCTATTGATTCTATAGACACACCTTTTTTAGATTTTGATAAAATATTCTTTTTTGATTTTGATTTCGGGTCAACCTTTTTGAATTTTGTTTTTTTATCCTCTTTGGATTCTGTTAACCCTTCAGTCTTAAATTTTGTTAACTTAATTGGTTTAGATTTTTTGCTATTTTTCTTTTCTTTTGCAGCTATAGTTTTAATTTCATTGCTAGTGTTATTATTTTGTTGGTTTTCAAAATCATTGTTATTTTGACAAGTATCAGTTATATCATTTTTCAACCATAGAGATAGCATTTTAGCTATAAATTTTTTAATTTCTTCTAAGAAATAAGAAGTGCGTAAGAAGTCCGCAATATTTTCCTCAGATTTGAGTTCCTCTTCCGGATTTATTTGGCTTATAATATTTAAAATCTTTGTCGTCAAATTGTTTTTTTTTAAAATTTGGTCACTACACAGAACTTTAATAAAATAGTTAAATATCAATTTTGATAGTGTTTTTACGAAATCTCTTTTCCATCGACTTGAATTACATTTAGGATTTAAATTACGAAAGAAACGACATAACATCCCTTGAGTGTTTCTACTATTATACCATTTCCTAGAATATACGTAGTGCAATTCATATTATTTAACGTGAAGATGTATTAACATTAAAATATATCTACTCACGAATCAGAAAAATTCGCTTTTAAAATCAATATTTTCGTTAACATAATTTTCGTGCTTTGAGTCAAACTGTTTCCTGCGTTTAGTAAAAATTGAGTCACAAATCTAAAAATAAATATTTCAACCATAAAATAACTCGCATTATTATTATTTAACATAGTTAAAATTACCATTGTCCGTCGCGGACACCTGACTCGAGTGTTGTGGACCATTCATAGGACCACTGGTCAGAGTTTAATGTCGATAGTATGATTGCACTTACCGTTGCCACATCGTGCTCATAACTTCGATGGACTCTGTCGGCGGGATAACATACTTCGGCCGCATGTTCTTGCATCGTTTCTCGATGAACTTCAAACCCCGTAACCCCGTCCACCTGTACCCCCTGGGCGTGGAGAGCATTTGCATGTGTTCAGATCGCGTCAGGCAGTCACGGTTGACCGTGGGCCGATGACACAACACTCTTGGCTGAGGTTCGTCGCACCTTCGACTGACAGGTTTCTCGGCACACTGATCCTTTTTCGACACTTCTTTCCAGGTTGGCGCGGTTTTCATTATTACTGCTAAAGTTTTCGTCGGTACCACAGCTAAAAGACGTACGAAGGAACGATTGATTGCCGCAGATTCTCGCTGTAGGGCAACAGTGGAAAAATGTGGAGTTCGACACTTTTTACGGGGCTTGAAAATCGTTTGAAGAGGAAAAAATTTTTTGCATCGAATTTTGAACTTATCGAATAAAAGGTGTTGTCTGCACCTCTGCTGTAACGGTTTTCGTGTGTTTACACAGAATGGCTACATGCTCATGATTACCTATATTTCTGTCTAATTGGCCAGCATATTGCCTATGTTTTACTATATACATTGAGTATTATATAATTTATATCTGCTTGGTGTTACTATGTAATAAAATAATATTAAATTATAATGTGTGGGAATTATTTACTACACTCGTTGAGTGGAGGGTTGCAGTCAACAGTGAATAAATCTCATCCATATTAAGCTCTTTTAAAAAAATATAAATTAAATTCAGTATTTGCGACATAATGGACAATAAAAAAAACCTTCCACAATATTCTTTTAATATTTTCTGACAAAAGTGATTTAATTATTTATTGTTTAGCCATATAATATAAATTAACTTGGGCTAAAGTTTAAAGTTTCAATAAGTTAAATATAATTTAAAATATATAAAATATATAAATATAATTGTTTGTTATTAGCGTTTTCAGTTGTATTTTTCAGTTTTTCAGAAGAATACATTTTTGCTAATTCATTATATTTATTAGATACCATTTTTTGAAATCGTGTTCACAGATATAGAAAAAACATTTTGGTGTCATTAAATAAATCATAAATTTTTAAACTCTTCGAAAAACTACTAAGTCCATTCTAAAATATCGATTATAATGAATAGTTAGTGTTTAAACGATAGAACCTTCTTTGACTTCCTTTAAAATAATATTAATACCAAGGTCTAACAATGTATTTGTTCACAGTTCACGTACGTGATCGAATCAGTTAAACACGACTATCAGTTGTAACTGAACGCCAAACATCCATTCTTTTGTGAGAATCTCTTAAAAACGTAGCACAAGACTTTAGCAATCCAAACAACGACACAGAAGCAGTTGAAATAGAGGTGGCTTCTAAAATAATTAAATTCAAACAATGAGCATAACACCAAATGTGAATTTGATTTGGTGACTCTTTTTCAAGCCACAAGGAAAATCCTTTATATTGACCAATCATGTTCGACGCACCATCGGTTGAGCTACCAATACATTGTTTAATGTCAATATTATTCTCTGATAAATTACTTGATACTAAATCACAAAGTGCTAGACCAGTGGTTTTTTTAGGACTTAAAAATGATATAGCTATTTCAAATACAGTAGGTTCTAAACTTTGAAGGTTGTTTTGCGAAATATATCTGATAACGACGGAACAAATATCTATTACAGAAATGTCTTGCGTTGTGTCAATTTGTATTGAATACATACCAGCTGAATTTATTTCTTCGCTCATTTTTTTTTTTTTATTTACTTAAATATTGATTTAACAATGTAATTTATTGTTGTTTTTGAAAGAAAGGTAACTTGTTGACTTCGACCTGGAGTTGTATTTATATTAGCTTTTTTGGTAACTGATTGAACATGTTTATTCAATATGACGTCATATTTTGCCAATAGTAAAACAATATCCAAGAAATTTCCGTGACTTACATTTGGATTAGATAAATCTTTAGCCGATTCATACTCACCCCGAAAGCTCATTCCCCGTTTTCCTATTAATTTTACAACATCTATAATTCTTTCAAAAGCAAGTTTTCGGTCTTTTATTTCAAGCATTCTTTTATAAAGTTGGTCATTAAATAATAATATATCAATAGTTTTTTCTTTAAATTGCATCATGTAGGACTCAGATGAGTAAAAATGGTTTTTACTGTTTTCGTGTTCATGAATTCTACTATATAAATGTTTGGGATCGATATCAAATAATCCAGATGTAAACTTACTTTCATCATCTGATTTTGAAAAAGCCAAACAAACTGTACAATAAAAATCGTTGTTACTTTTATTAAAAGAGAACCAGTTTCGTACAGTACCATCTGACCATCTGATCGATAAAACGTTTTTTTTGCATTAATTTGATAATCATCATCATCTTTTAAAATTTGAATTGGATGAAATTTAAAGAAAGCATGGAGTTCATTAGGTTTCGGTTTATTAAACATATGATTAACATGTCTATCAGTTTCAACTATTAATGAAGGTTCCGTTACACATTTTTCACTACTATCAATTGAGGTAACCATTGAATGTTTGTTATTATTTTGTTTTTCATTTTCAAATATTAATGTACTTGAAAATTCTGTTACGGATGCATTTATATCGATGGAGGGAGTTTTGTTACTCATAACCGATTCAATCAATATATTTTCATTCTTTTTACAGCGAAAAACATCTATAATATTATAACACTTTTCAGCTTCATTTGATAACAATCTTTTATTTTTTTCTCTTTTCTTTTCTGCTCCTCCTCTAAACTTCCTTTTCGCACTTTCTTGTCCTTCCATTTCTAATAAAACAAAAGTATGTAGGTTTTTTCCAATACTTAAATATTTATAAAGATTTACTATACCATTAATATACAATATATAAAGGTATTTAAAAAACAATATTTTACTTTATTAAAAAAGATTTTAGATTTTTGAAATAAAATTAACCCTAATGTGGTTTTTGGCTGCAGATCCCACAAAAACATAACTAATTTAGTCTCAGCCACAAAATCGATTACAATTTAAAAATAGCAGTGACTAGCGGTGGCCTGGTCCAACCCTGAGGCGATTGGAAGCAGCGTAGTATTTATTTCACGTTTTAGACCTAAAAGCCTGACAAGATTACGCATACTTAAAATGATCATATTTTAATTCTGTAAAAAGATTTGAGTTGATCGACCTTTTTTCTAGGTTATTGTGGAAATCAATTTTTGATATTTTTTTTAAAATTGTTTTTAAATCTTATTTGAGTTTCTAAATTTTTTTTTAATTTTTAGATTTACTTAAGTGTCTTTTTTAAGAATGTTAAACAGTTATTCTAAAATTGACTTCCACAATAACCTAAAAAACACAACGACAAGTACAAATATTTTTACAGAATTAAAATACGATAATTTTGAGTTGACGTATTTTTGTCAGGCTTTTAGGTCTACATTGATTGAAATTAGTTTCTTCGTCGGAACAAAATATTTTATTTCATCAAATGTAAGACATGTGCATGCGCGTGCGGGCCATAAATTGTTTCCCGGAAACGTTTGATATCGGCGCGCAACGCGAGCCCCCAGCGTACCTATATATAATTTCTAAATAGACTTATAATGAATTCAAATGAATTGCAATATATTTATAATTTGGTATGTTTACTGTAATGATTGTACACAATATACCTACTGTACGATTATGCCCGAATTTATCTATGGATTTAGTCGACACTTAGTAGTTAGTACTTAACGGCGCTACATCTAAAGCTTAGTTTCAGTGCAATATTAGTGTATTAGTATCAGTGCTTTAGATATTGATTATATTTTTATTATTCCAAGTTCTCATAAAAAAATGAATAACAAACTATAATAACTATAATAAATAACTACAATAAGTTGTAAAAAATGAGGAATAATTTACATTATATTTGTATAACAGACATGATAATCGAACGCAGATCGAGGCTGAAAGAGAAAATATATATTTTAATATCGGCGAAAAATCATTAAATAATATAATACCTGTCGAGTAAGTGTTGGAGTAATTTTATAAAATTGAAAATTAAAATTAAAAAATAATTTATAATTTTTAAAGGGTGAAATGTAGTGGTCGACGTGTAGTTGATATAATGTTTTTATTTGATGCCATTAAAAATATTGACCACCACCCATTCGATTGTACTTTCAAAAACTTAATTTTGGTAAAAGAAATCAGAAATGGATTTTTTTCTGAATTTGTTTTTATGTGTAATTTTTGTAACAAACAAGAAATAATTACAAATGAAAATCGCGCTAGTATGCTTGTAAATTCGGCAATGGTAGCTGCAATCGTAAATACTGGACAAGGGTATACAAAACTAGACACATGTTCAGCTTTTATGATTTAAAACTAATTAAAAATCAGTAGCTATTCCTAAATGTAGCATTTGAATTGCTCCGATGGTCTCGTCGTTGTCAATGATTAAATTAGCATACCAACAATGGATAATTTAATCACACTAGTTAACTATATTGGGTTATCTTCATCGAAAAATACTTCCAACTAAAATTTATTTAAAAATTTTAAGATTTCTTTACAAGATCCTTGGTTCTTTTTTCCTTTTTTTAAAGCCCTGGTTTTTTCCCGAATGGTTTTATTTGAATTAATTATTGTAACAATAATTATTGAGAGAAATTTAAAAAAAATCAATCTATTTCGGTATTAAAATTGTTGGTATTTTTATGAGTGTGAAAAAATAAATGCGCTATTAACGAGAAAACTAAAATTGATGGACGAAAAATAAAATGTGTAAACTAATAATTTCCAAGGCCAGGAGTGCGCAAATAACGCATCTTTAGTGTTTTAATAAATTTCGCAGCCAAATTTTCCCAAAATGTAATAATATAGACAGTGATAAATGATAACTTATGGCTAAAAACACATGTCAATGTTGAAATTGTATTTCAACTAATTAATGTAGATATGTACACTCCCGATAAAAATTTAAGTCTGAAAATAATATTTACCTTAAGTCTCATTTGATAATTCGTCGCAATCATATAAACTTCAAATGAAGATTATTGTTTCATATAAAATAATTTCATGTAACTGTTAAAATGAATACACATTATTGACCTCAATAGTTTTAAAACTAATTTTTTTTTTTATGTATACAAAAATAGCAAATACAAATGTACAATAGTAACTAATGTTCAAACATGAGTTAAACACTTCATCAAGTATAAAACAATTAACGGACTATTTCACTGTGTATGATAACGACAAAAACTTGACAAATTATTTTGATTATTTATTACAAATAAGCAAGTTGAATAGGGTTAATAATTTATAACCTGGGCCCCCACACGAGTCTTCTCAGTGGGGCCCAGTATTTCATTGTATGAAATAAAATTAAATAAATAAAATTAAAATAAATATTATAGATAATGTAGAGGTACAAGTGCAATCCTCTTTTGTCGTCTTTAGCTCTCTGTTCCGATTATATACACCAACTTTATTCCAGTACTTGTATTTTCTAAGACGTGTTCTTTTATACTAATATTCTACTCCTTCGCTCATTACTCGTATTTCTCATGAATTATTTTCATAAAAAGTTATTTTATTTAAGAACTGGCTATAACATAAATATTTTTTTTTTTTTGATTTTAAGTTTTAACCATTTATGTGCATTTAATGTCGAATAAAATGTCTCACACTATTTAAGCTATTATCATACGTTCATAGGAATCCTTAAATATTTAAAAATTACCTATGTATAAGTACACGATATTTTCTTTAATTATTTTTACTGCCTTGCAATGTATTTTTTAATGGACTAAGGTAGTGCAACATACCCACTTATAACCACTCTCTTCTCAGATTACTTATTTGATTTTTTTTTAATAAAATAAGATATTACAAGTGTTATTATAATACGTTAGTCATTTATAACATTATAAGTTTGAATTTCGTATAAACCGTGTTGTTAACGAACAAAAATTAAAAATAATTGATTCATGCGGCTGTAAATTGTCGTAAGTTATTAGCCGGTCATTTTTGATATCAAAAGATGACCAATGTCAATGTTCGTGAGTACAATTAAAGACTTTCGATAGTCTGTATGGTATCCAAACAATAAAAATAAAGTAAATATAATATAATAATGATTAAAAAAAAATAATGTCTTGGTTAAACAATAATACTTATATGTATAGTTTCTATAGGAGACTAAACAATTTTAAAGTGATTAAACTAATAACTGTAGTAGGCATTGTTTATAACAGTGTAAACTGGACAGTGAAAATTATTGTTCAAAACCGAAATTTCTTGATTTACTATGGCAAATGAGAACGCACAAGTTAACCTTACCGAAAGCCGGAATGGGTTGTCCGAAGAGTCGTCCACCGACCTTGCCGGACGTTCGGTAATCGACGATCATGGGTTTGCCGGATCAAGCGCAGACGTGCCCGGCGACAGTTGCGGTCGGCGTCGGCGTCGGCGTCGGCGCAGTTCATGCGGCAGTAGATCGCGGAGCCGATCGGTCAGTCGCCGCAAGAGGAGTCGAAGCAGATGCCGGTCCAGGAGGCGTTGTAGCTCCTCGGTGACATGCTCCATGTCCAGACGCCGCCGTCGCAGCAGTAGATCGAGATCCTGCGCACCGAAACGTCGACGGAGCCGAAGCTCTTGCGCACCGAAACGCCGACGGAGCCGGAGTTCCTGCGCACCGAAACGTCGACGGAGCCGAAGCTCTTGCGCACCAAAACGCCGTCGCAGCCGGACTTCCTGCGTAACGAAACGACGTCGCAGCCGGACTTCTTGCGCAACGAAACGACGTCGCAGCCGGAGTTCCTGCGTAACGAAACGACGTCGCAGCCGGAGTTCCTGCACGCCAAAACGTCGACAGAAACATTCGTGCCCGACCAATCGCTGCGAACCGATTCCGGCCGGAACGGTCAGAGGAGACACTGACGATAACCGTGGTGTGGCCTCGGGATCATACCGGTCCAACGACGTGGCGGCGGCCGGAACTAGTGGTGCACGGAACGGGTCGCGTGGCCGCCGTCGTTCACCCCAGTCGCCCGCAAGCTCGTCGACGACGACGGACCGTCGCGATGGCTGCAGGTCTCGGGTGGTGGTCGCCCAAACCCCCGGGGCTCGATGGCAGTCCGATACCAGACGGAAGAAACGATAAAATGGTTTATGTAAAGCGGTAACGTTGACGCACCGTATTAGAAGTAAATAATTATATTTAAAATATTGTAATACGAGGCATGTGTTTAAAGTAAGGCAGGCCCAGTTCATGGGGTAGGTGACATAAAAAAATATTTGATAAAATATTTACACGTAAGGGGTGACAAAAACTAAATTTCGCCTATGTTTGTTTAAACACTTGAGCCGGGTTCCCCTCCACCAATCGAAACCTGGCGGAGCTCATTAGGACGCTCAGTCTCGACGTGGCTGCCGTTTGCGATGGAGGTACCGGTTGTCGCTCCAGCCAAGTGCGAGTTACATTCAGTCATTAAGTTTTTGCACGCGAAAAAAACTCCACCTATAGAAATTCATCATCAATTGGAAGAAGTGTATGGTGAGAATGTATGGAATGTGAAAAACGTTCGAAAATGGTGTAGAGAATTTTCTGCTGGCCGCCTAAGCGTCCACGACGAGGAGCGCAGTGGCAGGCCGTCACTAGGACGAAACAATGCAGAAAGTTGAGGAGCTTGTGCTGAAAGATCACAGTTTGACTCTCAATGAGCCAAAATTGAATGAATAGAGTCTCTACTGCACACTTCTTGAAGTTTTTCGGCCAACTCACGTTTTTCACATCCATACGTTTCTCACCATACACTTCCAATTGACGATGAATTTCTATAGGTGGGATTTTTTTTTTTGCGAGCAAAAAATTAATGACTGAACGTAACTCGCACCTAACGGGAGGGACAACCGGTAACTTTATCGCAAACGGCTGCCACACGTATACAACTTGCGACGATACGTTGGTGTGGAGACCTTACTTTAAATATACGCTTCTTACTATTGGAGAACTTTTTGGTTAACCGGTTCAATTCGAAACTAGAATTATATCTCAAACGACGTACTCGAAATATAATAGAAAATATTTAATACTGAAATGGAAATTTCAAGTGCCCGGAAAAACTTTCAATTTTAAATGTCTTCTTTTATATTTCAAGTACGTCGTTCGAGATATAATTCTAGTTTCGAACTGGACCGATAAACCAGAAAGTTCTCCAATAGTATTATAACATATTAAATATAATTATTTAGTTCTAAAAAAAAAAAAAAAAAAAAAATATAAACAAAATTGCTGTTAATTTCTAACCTAGTATTTTATTTGAATTGAAATTAGGTGTGTTAAAAAAAAATACAATTAGTTGTGTATAAGATACATTTTTAAATTTGTTGGTTGAAATCGACACTTCTTGAGTGCCGCATAAATGTTATTTGTTAAAATAGACAAAATATAAAAACCATAATTATTTTTTATTAATGTTATTTATCAATAATTCACTGGATATATCAATTTAATAATATTCCTTTAATGAATTATAATTATCAATTTGGTGAATAGGCATTATTTAAACAAAAATATTTCGAGTGATTACGATTTATGTTAGACTATTCGTTTTATTCCACGTCACGTATACGTATGATATCATAAGTAAAACGATGTAAGCGACACACTCGGCCTATTATACTTGGTAGCTAACAAAATTCAATTCATAGAAATATAATATGATGTAGTTTTTACATTTTACTTCTTTCCATGTTTTTAGTGTGTAAGTGGTAGATTGCGGTTAGGGATAAGATAATTCCATAGAATTATTATTATTAATTTATCGCTCAAAGACTGTCAGTTTTCTAAGAAACAGTCGACAATGCAATTATGTAACCAGTGTTGAGACTTATCTAGATAGATTTTCTGTTATCTTTTATCTTATCTAGATAAATAACGCTAATTTATTTAATTACTTATCTAAGATAAAATTTTTACTTATCTAGATAATGTCTGTATATTTGCCAAGGTTAGAGTTATTTTTATTCTTATACGGAAACGAATCCAACAAATCAAAGATCATAAAAATCGGTCCAACCGTTCTTGAATTAGAAATTCTGCGACTAACCCGACTTTCTTTTATATATATAGATTTTTGTATTTATAATTATAATTTGTGTATTATTAATAAGTAATTATTATTTCTTGGTATGACATTTTGTTTGTATTGTCGGGAAAATATTTTTGGTATTTTTAAACTTAATTTCTTATTATTCCATGGAAATATCTGCCTAATAAGACAAATCGGATCGGATCAACTAATGATAACTACAAAGAACTAAATGTACTCCCTCTTAAGCTCCTGTATAAAAAATTCTCTATATCATTCACACTAAAAAATCACTATCAATTTAATCTTAATATGTGCAGTAATAAACGTGATACTTTTAAGTATAATCTAAGTAAGTAAATTCTAAGTAAGTAAGTAAATCTTAAGTAAATTACACCAAAAAAGGAATAGGCCAGAAATTTGTTGATTATTTAGGGCCAACTAATTTCAATTGCTTAGACTTTAATTTGAAGAAACTTCTTAGAATAAATAATGAAATGAATGAATATAAATCTGTATCTAATTTTTATTTAACTAATTTGTAATCTAAGAAATTATTCGTTTGTACTATGTTTCATTATTCATTGTCTGAAATTCTTTATTTCTCTTCTAATTCTATTTGTATTTACATTTAGTTTTAGATTACTGTGTGTATAATTTCTATATTTATTTATCTTTGTCTTAAATTTCTTAATTGTAATTGTATGTACATTATATATATTGAAATCTATTATTCTAATTTTCAATGTTAATACGTTGATTTTAATAAGTAATTAATAACTCCCTATCTCCAACACAAGCTATAACTTAAAGGAGATAGGACAATCAATAAATTGTAATATAATAAATTATTGTAAAATTAAATATTGATATGATAATAAAAAATAAAATAAAAAGTTCTAAATATAGTAGGTATTTGATTTTAGTAAACACATGTAACTCATACGCCGAATAGTCAATACTTCACTCTTGGAACCCGTAAAGTCGTAACTACTTATAGAATAATGAAAATCATCAAATTAAGATTATATGGAAAACAATATTGTTAACTTAAAATAATTTCTTATGTATTCTGTATTCATCATGATACGTACAGAGCAATTTTCATTTTTTTTTTTTTTTTTTGTAACATTTTAATAATTGTCTATCATTAAATATTGTACATTATATAAAAATACTGCTTAATGGTACACAACATTACTATAATGAACATTTAACACCTGGGTACCTTTGATAATAATGATTATAATTGAGTCTTCATAGATATTATTAGAATATGAAATATTGACCAAAAAATAAAAATGTTTGAAAATATCTTTTTTTAGTATTTAGATACTTAAATTTTTTTACCTATTATCTTTATCTAGATAAATTTGAATATATTATCTTTCATCTTTTTCTAGATAAATTTTGCATTATCTATTCCCAACACTGTATGTAACCCTGGTACAATATATGTACTTATGATATAAATTATGTCTACATCAAATAATTTATTCATTCGATAGTAATATTAGTACTCATCAAGTACTTGAAAAAGTCAAGTCTATTTTACTCATAATTCATTATCGTAATATTGCTGTTAAACTTAAAAAATAGATACACGTACACACTACTTGTCGATAATTTAAAACATAATTTTCAAAACGTTTCTTTCTCGTGAATAAAAAAAAAAAAAAATATGTGACTTCATTGTTTTTAAACTATTGTCAAAAATAAAACAATTTCTATATTTGTATAGTATATACGTGCCTTTTCCCCACGTATCACATAAACTGCAGCCGCAGACATGTCTCCGAATACGAATTCAGTAAATAAATAATGTTCTGCTGTTTTCACGTATTTAAATTAGTGCAATTTCTCGCAGTTACCTTATGTGACCTGTAAAAATACGTACATGCATATTCGAACCACAACTTCTCATAAATTTGTTTCATGAGCTGTAACTATATATAATACATGCTTATCTGCAGTTATTATAAATTAACTTAAATCGGCGAAAACCTGGCTAAACTGTCATTTTCAGAATACCGATTTCCGAAATTAGAAAAATCAAGTCTTGGCTAAAGACTTTTTCCTTTTGGATATTTTTTTAAATTTTGAATTAACACAATAATCGAATCACACGTTTTGAGTTTATGCAGTGATGGGACTAATTGAAAGTAGATACAACAGAATGTACTGAGTTTCTAATTTTTAATATGTTGTAATACGATTAGTTTTTTTTTTTTTATTTTATATGATCAAATTTTCTGGTTACATGAAAGTCTAAATCATCATATTTTCATGCAACACGTGTCTTAAACAGACAATATTTTATATAGTTTTCAAATTTAAACAAACAATTGAACTAACACCCAATACCAATATCATTCAACACAACTATATCCCATTCCACATAGATTCTTAATGCAATATTCACTTTAAATTAATGAATATTATATCTATATTATATTATAATATTATTATAATGTTTTTTTTTTTTTTTTTAAATATCGTTTATTGAATATTTACAATTATATTATTATACAACTATACTATTATATGTACAATAAGTAAATTTGTTGGAGGAATGACGGTGATGGGACGGTGAAAAGGGAAGCTCACAGTAGAGCTACCTTTACATGAATATTAAATTAATTTTAGGTGTTGAGAAGATCTCTGGACCATTTCCGATTAAGGCGTCGGGTAGGGTTACCTGGAAGTGTATTAGAGTGAAGTTGAGATATAAGTTGGTTTGGGTGGCTTTGTATTTTGAAGTGGAGTCTTGAGTAGAAATTGGCTGCAGTCTGGTTGATGGATGGGACATTGAGGTCTTCGTGTAGAGTGGCGTTTGTGACGTACCATGGGGCTTTAGTAACTATGCGGAGGCAGATGGATTGGAACGCTTAAATTGTCCTGAGGTTTAAGGGTTTGGCAGTGCCCCAGAGAGCTATACCATAAGACCATATTGGTTGTAGGAGACTTTTGTATAAAAGTAGACGGTTGGATAAGTTCATATTAGATTTGAGGAGAGGTCTAATTAGGTGTAGGCGGGAGTTAAGTTGTTTTCTTTTGCTTTTGAGATGGGGACCCCAGATGAGTTAGCATTATAATGTTATAAAATTATGAAATAGTTTAAAAGACTATTTATGAGTATGGTTACGTAGACTGTTAAATGTACACATAGTTATAATAATGTTTATCTTTGATAAATAATAATTTTAAATAATTTAAGTTCAAGTTTGATACAGACCTCTAGTTACAATATTATTTGATAACGACTACCAGTATATATTACACAAATTATGAAATATTTTTTATAAAGTATTAATTTAAGACATTTAATTGAATAGTTCATTGTTATTGTACCAATTCGATAAAAATACTTTAAACTTGCACGGGAATTACAATACTAAAAGTATATCTAATGATGTAAAATTATTATTTTTATGCTATTATATTAAAATCACAATAAAATTGTATTCTGTTTGTACATTAATATAATTAATATAATATATTTACAATAATTATAATGTTATTACTTATTATAGTTAAAAATTGATGTTTATTTAATTACACTAATCGCCTGTTAAAACTATGTGATTATTTTACATGTTCTTATAATTTATTTTTCATTGTTGTATATTAAAATTAATTTAAAAACTATTGAATTCAACGTGTAAGTATTCAATTAAACCCACAAGGTGTTCGGTTTATAATTAAAAATCATAAAATTAAGTTACAAATGCTCTTACAATGTATAAGTACGTATAAGCCTAGATACACACACACATCGATATTTTAAATAATTTTCAAAACGTCTTAACGAAATCATAATTATTGATTGCGATCCATACTATATAATATGGCAAACGGACATAACCCTCGAACATATGTGTTACTACAACGGCACACCACATGTGTTTTTGTCGGTCCGCATACCCGGGACCAAGTGGTTTTATCTTTTAATTAATTATCCTCGTCTCGTCCAACAGGCTGGAAAATAAATGTTTTATCTCATATAAAAAGTCGTTAATGTTACATGCGTAGTTGGGACATTTCACATAGACTTTTAACTGTCATTACATTTTTATAACCGTCACCGTCACAAATGTGTATTCTAATTAAAAAAAAAAAAAAATAAAATAATAATTAAATCAAAACTAATCGTAGTCGTGGAAAGTCGAAAAATCCTATGACATATGATAACAACAATTACATGAAAAAAATTCTGAAAAAATAACTCCAATGTTTGAAAAAAAAATAATGTAATGTGATTAATTTAAAACGCTAAATGATTTGTTCGAACACACGGATGTTGCAATTGAATGTTTAAAACGAGTTGTTTTGTAGAACGCAACAGATCGGATGCCGAAATAGTCGCTGCGGTACAATGTGTGGTCGCGTTCACGAAATGATTCGTTCAAAGTTAAAAATATTAAAAAAATACTGTTGATAACATAATACGTATACACTCGAACGCGACCGTTCGAAAATCCAATTTGCTTTTAAGGTTGTTACGTTTCACGCACGGTTGGAATTATAAATCGCGCGAATCGTAATTTTTCCGTTAAACGGCCAAGGTGCAGCGTGTGGAATCCGATTCTACACGCTCAACTGATTGAAATAATCTTAACCGATTACAGTTCGTTTCTCTGCAATCGCATCCAGTACACACCTGAGGGTCGATGCTAGCCGATGTCGAGTCGAACCAAATGCACTCTATTTCTACACGTTGTTGTGTACGCATACTAATTACTAATAATACGCGTATGGTTTGCACGTGACCTTACAGCGGTACAGAACGTCAAAATGTTCTAATGTTTTTCCTTTTTTTTTTTCACTCTGCGCGCACAGATTGCCGTCGTCCGTGAGAGACCGATCGTTCATAAAAGTCGTGTGAATAAAGTCGTAAGGCTACTTTTTTCGTACGCCGTTTACACGAGCGAGAAGTAGAAAAAAAACTAGGGGTAAAAAACGATAATTTCTATCGAAACCGTTTACCGAAGGCCTCAAACGCAATATTCAACCGTTGTCGTACGCGAACGGGTTTGATCTCGGGCGACGGTAATTTGCACCACCAACACACATGTGATTCACATTCGGATATTTAATGAAATGGATAAATTTCGCGTTACGCTGTATCCTCTCTTAATACAATTTGCATCACATGCCCCACGTATGTTTTATCACGCCTTAGTCGACCAGATTATAATATAAATCAGTGATTCCCAGTGACCACGGATCGCAATGCGTTTGACGCATGCTGATCCTCAGAATTACAATCGTACTAAAATAAATTTTGCTGTTCCAATTGCGTGCGGCGGTGTGGTAAATATTTATTTTCGCCCATAAAACTCTTCTGGTGTTTGAAAATCAAAACTGTTTGTATTTTTGTCGTATACGTTTTCATTTCATTTGCGAGAAAAAGTTCAGCGGTGTAAAGTTATATAAAATAACGATGTTTGTGTACAATAAATTATTTTAAAATGTCAAAAATGGACATGGAAAAAGCTGAACTTTTAAAACATAACTTGGTTTGCTCGTAATTGCGGATATAGACGATGAAATTCTCCAAATACAAATCTATCTTTATAGATAATATTTGGAGATGATCTAGTTTTTTTTTTAATAACTTTAAGAAATTTATACTTAAGATATACATTTTCTATCAGTAATACATTCCAAGTGATTTTTACGGACGGCATTATAACAGATCTAGTGATCTGAGGAATAACAATCACAAAATATTATGATCAGTGATTAATGTAAAACAATAACCCTTGTAAAAATCGTTGTCCGTAGTTAAATTTCAAATACGTGGAAAACGCATATGATTGTTGCGAATTTTCGTTGTACCAAATTCGCCATGTGCACGTTTTTGCGGTACGTGGATATTGAGGCAGTAATTGTTATAAACAATAATTACGTACTACCATTAAAACATTTTTTTGAAGCACTGGATTTTTTTATAAATAATTGAAAAGTTAGGGTTGGACTGGAGTTAGAAACATTTTATCTATTACTATTACATACTATTACATTTTCTATTTTCTAAGAGTTCCTGAGGTCGTAAGAGTTTGGGAACCATTGATATAGATACATTGATTTTTATGTATACAAAAACTATTTTGTTTCAGCTAATATTTACAATTATTATTTTATCACAAATCAACAAATTGTAACTTAATTATATTACTTCTCGGAGTAGAATACAATAGAAAATAAAAAATAAAATGAACATACTAGGTATATTGACTAAATGATGAACCAGTTTTGACACATTTATGTGGCATATAATATATTCGTTATTCGCTATCGGTCGTGGCGCAAATTACATATAAACCTTTTTGGACGTGACACAGGTTACATACATAATTTTCAATCACTTTTAGCAAAACTTACACACGCCCTTGTTCCCTTTTCGCGTGCGCACGACATATTATTATTATGTACCGATGATGCGGTTAATAGAAATCCCTTATCGTTCACCAAACAAAAACTAGAAAGTTCTTCTTACTTTCCTTCCTAAAAGAAATGTCGTGACCAGCACACAACACTATGAGCAAGTACCAGATAAGTAAACTCGTAATCCGAAGCAACTTAATATCTACGTCTATAGCGATTTTCCTTGTCAAATTTTGTAAATCATCCGTCGTCAACGCGGAGGATTGGAACCACTCATTCTACAGTACGTAACAGGACACGTTTACGCAACATTTGAATTGATCAGTACTTTTGTTGCACCCTGTAAATATAATCTATATGAGCGCCGGAACGAATTCTAAACTCTAGTATTCTCTTCGTATAAATATTTTCGTGCCACGTGTGAACACCTATAATAATATGTGCCGTGTCGTACTTTTTTTTTCATTTCAACAAAAATATGCTTAACAGTGCAAAGTCCGGACGTTGGTCTATATAATTATTTATTTAATTGTTTCTTTTACACTATTGAACTATTTGCTGATTCGGCATCAACTCGATAACGACGTAGCACACGCAACCTAAATTGGAAATTAGCAGACAGTTGGAGAAACGATGTAACATCGAATTTGAATAATTGTATACAATAAAACTAGCTTAATACAATATCTGAAAACTTCATCCGTCTTAAACGGGTATCGAAGAAAAATAAACGCCGAGAAAACTTAATTTTGCTAATCACGATTAAGAATACCATTAGAATATATACGCTCCTAGTTTTATATTTTTTCTAATTAACACTTTATTTTATAATTATAGTATTATAATTACACTATATTGTTTATCAGTTGAAATGTCGACAGTGAACATAGGTGCTTTTACCAAACAATAAAAATAATTTAGTGTAATCAAAACGAGTAAAAAATGTTTTCTTCTATAAACATACAATTACTTTAATTTATTGTCATAAACAAGAAGGCGTCATATCCGACAAGATGAAGAAAAACTAAAGTGCCTTACTTTTTTTTTTTTTTTTAATCGTTTGTATTTAAATAAATGTAAACATATTACTTGGTAACATCGGGTGTTACCGTAACGCAGGAGGCCTACGATGTGTCCATACCTTCAAACGTTGGCCGCGCGATAGTTCACCACATCGTGCCGTGAGTAGGTTAGGGTAACCTTACGTCGAGTAACGAATGTTTGTGTCCGTCGTTGGAAGAGAGTTGCGATTAGCACTTGGCATACGGCTACACGATGTGACATGTGTAGTCCTGCAATCACAGTCAGTAGACTTGTAACAATTGTGAAACGTAAGTATGTATACCTAGGATGAATAAAGAACTTTATTAAAGTTCTATAAATATAAATAAACTAAAATAAAATATAAATAAACTTAATATAATCACTTATATCAATATAAAAAATGGTTTGATACTCATAAGTCACATTATTATTATTATGAAAGTTTATAAGCAGCAATCATAAGGACTAAGCACCATGAATGTGTCGCTTAGCCCATAATATTTTCAACAACGTCACTTATACCCTTAAAAAAGGCGCTTCTCCCCTACTTTTATATCAGTTATGCGCTTATCCTAAAAAATCTAAATTCTTGTACTTACTAAATCTCATTACTAAATGGTCAGAACAATACTAGCATTAGTTTGATCGAAAAATCTAATTGTCGGTTATCCCGTAGTATACACCGTGCCGCTTAACCCCAAAATGTCGCTTAGTCCCTTTTGCCTTTTATCAACCGATATACACCAGAGCGAAGTCTATGTGTCCAACATTCCAACACGACACTGGATTTAATGTTGCCTACAATGTGTACCTACATGCGCAAGTCAAATATTGGTTCCAATATGCAGCTAATATTTGCACGTTAACGTTGGAGCCAACGTTCGGCACATTGTGTCTTTAGAGACTACGACCACGAGCGTTCCGATAAGGACTCCGATTTTCAAACTCAAATTATTATTTTTCTACAGGTCACTTCGAATCGTTCGAATACTGTGAGGTTAATAAGTATGTTTCAAAATTCGCCATTTATGACATTTCAATAAATTGGTTGTAGACTCGTGTACCGTTGTCAACCGATTCGAATGCAAATTCTATGTACTCAATGTGTAATCAATGTGTCTAGCCCGTCAATGTGACAAAATAAATAATAGCATTTCGTCTTCCTCCGAATTGTTTCCTAATAATCGATTATTATCGATACGATGACGCGACGGTCGTGTACGTACGTTGATATTATTGTTCAGTAGGTCGAGTTGTGTAACACGTATGTCGTAGATGAACTGTGTCGATCTATCGATAGATATCTACGTGTTATTTAATAACCGGTGATACATCGAATATTAATAATATGTTTTCTCCGACGATATTATACACGCGGGTGTCTTTTATACCTATAAAACACATATGATTTAGGTGCATTATATAGTGTAAAGATATATTATATATAAATTTGTATTAACGATTTTAAATATTTATAAATCAAAAATAGTGCGCCCGTACACAATATATACCATTATACAGTATTAGATTAAAATCTAAGGGTTGAGCTTCAAATAATAGAAGATTCCATCTGCGCGCGGATTATTTCAATTATCAAAATTAATTAATAAAAGGAATAGGGAAAAAGGGTGAACCGGTTTGATCGTAAAACGTAGGGATGCAATTGCACCTGGACGCGTGTGGTTTTTGTCTTGTAACGAGGGAACAAACGGGTGTTGTTAAAGCAAAACTACCTACGTACAGTTTTCATCGTTTCACGATTTGTATACATTTTTGACCAAAAACAGATTTAGACCGATGAAAATGTCCTCAAACATAGATGTTTCGCATTTGAAATGTGTGGCGAAATCGCAATGAATCTCAGGATTGATATTGTTATACACGCGTAGGAATTATTTTCGACCAAAAATAATGAATGAATATCACGTATGAACAAATTACAACTACGGTCTCGTAAATACCAATTATTTAAACATATTATAATATATGGATGGTCTTTTAATTTTTTATCAAACGATTATTATAGCTAGTTCGAAATGCACCTCTATATACACGTTGTTTTGATACACAATTATTTATGAACGTATTACATTGTTTTTAATAATATATTTTGTAGAATGCAACAATTTAAATTAAATCGTTTGATTATACGACAAACCGGTTTATCAAGTAAGCGTGTTTTAACTGTTATTCACGATTTAAAAATTTATTAGATTTCTGGGTGCTGTTATAATATTTTTATTTATTTTTTTTTTTATTCTTTATATTATTTTATAATGCTTTATATATACTATAATACTTTGTTATATTTAATAACAGTTCACGTGAACTCAAACACATACAGACACACACAAATTTACAATCGGCTCGGCGACTTATTGTAATGATAATAATTGAAGTTATAATAACAGTTTTAAAATTTTGATTTATACACATATAAATTATAACGTATACTATAATATAGTGTTTGTCCGTGTATGTTTTGTTCGCGCGTTGTTCTGCGGTTTGTTAAAAAAATTAACAGCTACTTTGATAAGACACCATCGACAACACGTAAGTGAACGATGGTAATATTGTACGAATTACTGTGCGGAAGAGGATTGACGCAATTATTGTTTTTTATCATTTTTTTTTTTTTTTTATTAGAACGTTGTTTTGCTTGTATACATGTATAATATATTCGTGAAGCAAATAATCGGTGACAATATCTGCACAACAAACTGCACTTATCAACCGAGTGTTGCAAAATGTTAACATTTTTCTTTTTGTCCACAATAAGCTCTGGCTATCCGATGTGCATTGGGGACAACTGTGGATACACGTTTCCGTTTGGTAGGCAGGTCGGAAACACGCGTGTCGCACGTAGGAACATGAGCTTTCGGTGCTACGAAGCCTGGCCGGTCATCCATCCAAGTACCTGCCGCCGCACCGTGCCCGATAACATATAATGTTACAAAGACGTGTTGTCTTGCCGTAAACGATTTTGCGGCTTCTGTCAAACGTTTGTCAAGCGTACAGTCGACGTGCACAACGCGCGGAAATAATAATTAAACATGTAATGTACTCACGAAAATAGCCGGAAGGTAGACAACGCGAACGGTATGGATCGTAGGACATCATCAATAACGTAACGATTGCGATCGCGCGTTTGTTGTGTTCATGAATTAATAATGTGAACGCACGGACTAACTCGGACGAGTCCGAGAATAATCGATGAATTATCATCCCACGTATGTATCAACCCGATAGTACCACCACCACCATCCCGGTGTGCAATTGCACGGTGGTACGTGCCAATGGCGTAGATACAATTTTTTCTGGGGGAGGAGGTGTTTAAGAGTCAATTCATAATATTCTTAGTAAATCTTAATATGAGGTCCTATATAATAACATTACATTTAAAATGGTATTATTATTATGTCCTGTATTTAATGAAAATTATTTTGTTATACAATTTTTAATATATAGGTTATCTAATCATAGTAAAATAAAAATATCATTTTACTATAATATATAAATATTAATAAATAATAATTAAATATCATTAAAAAAAAAATCTGGGAGGATGGAAACCTCTTACACCCCTCACCCACCGAAACTACGCCACTGGTACGTGCAATAACATTATGATAATAATATTTTATCGTGTCGTAATTCACTTCGCGCACATTCCGCATCCGACATTTTTCGGAAAGCCTATATTTGTTCATATAAATATATCACGATAATATATGTACTTAGAATACGAGTGGGTCCTTTTTTTTTCTCCTCCTTTCACGACTTCGCTGAGGGCGGTGGAGAGAAAGATAAAACGTATGACAAAAACCCCCGGGGTAAAATCCTCTCAGTGGCCGCCGAACAATTCCTACTACAACTACTTTACCATACGTTACATTGAATTTAATTGCCCGTGACAATTGCAAGCGCAACCGATCTCTGTGTCGGCTACTTTTTTTTATTTATTTTATCTATTGTGTGCGACGACGTATAAACCAGTTGGCTTTGTCACACGCACGTATATAGGCGTAAATGGGCGCGCGTGGGAAATCCTAGGGCCGCGGGATTGGTTAGTAGTTTCGTGAATTGATCGCGGGTGACGTTGAGAAACGACTAGTTTTGTGTGTGCGAGACGATCGCCGTACACGCATTGATTTCACGTATCAAATATTTGAACAGTGTAAAACCAATTCACTATATAGTATATATAATATATTATAATAATAATATGATAAAAAATATTAAAGGCTGATTTCACCAAATATGCTTTAATCATAATTACAGTAATCATGATTATAAATTAACGTGATTAAATCTAACTTGGATTTCATCATGCAACGCCCCCCCCCCCTATAACGTTTACAATATACAATCCTTATGTTTAATGAACTTGGAAGAAAATATTAAAAATATTATATTATGAAATACTAAATTAGTACAATTGAAAAATTGTTTGTAAAAATATGATATTATTAAAAATTATTAAATTATTATTATTATTATTATTATTAAATTATTAAATATTATAAAAATAATTATTTTTTCAACTTGTAAAGTGTATGCTGTATACACACACGCTACGCCACTGACAGTTTTATTTTTTTGTTTTAATTTGTATTAAATATGGACACTTTAAAGAGTAAACGGGACCGTAGTTTCGATTACTCCGAAAAATGTGTGCTTATAGAGATCATTAGTCGATACTTTAGTGTGATCGAATTAGAAAAAACTGGCCGGGTATTTATGAAACTCAAGAACCAGAGGTGGACAACTATTGCAGAAGAATTTACTGCAGCATCCTCATACTGTTATAGAGACTCTCAGAGTTTAAAAACACTGGAAAAACCTCAAAAGGAAGGCTAAAATGGCCATTGCTGCGCAAGCTGATAATATATAAATATATGGAAATATATGGCACAGGTTTTATTCTACACGTTAAATATCATGTAAATATTGATGTAAACAAATTTACGGTTTTTACAAGAGGAGTTAAAGCCAAGACAATTTTAGTCAAGCCTGTAATCGAAACAGTTTTGGGGCTAATTCAACCGCATGTCGAACTCTTTTGTAATATGTTCGATGATAACGCAGACATTTTAAGTCAAATAATCACAGGTAAATCAATTTGCTTATGAATAATATTATTGTTTGAATAGCATAATTTAGATTATTTACTAACATTTTAAACATTCACCCTATTAAAGATAAGTCATGAACATTACTTGTAACTGGTGACTTGGAAAATAAAATAGGTGAAAAAGATGAGGAGGAAATATTTCTGATGAGAAAAAAAAGCAGCATGACAACTGAATACGACTGGTCACAGTATAGCCCTGCCATGCTGAAGGCTCCGATGTCTGCTGCTCTCTGACAGCCTTCACAATTATTCTACCAGCCACTATCCTACGCATCCAGTCTTTCATCCAACTTCAATAAAAGCAATGCAATTGGAGTCCTTTGTCGCAGCATCTCCAAAAGTTACTATTCAACGCAAAAGTCCAAGAGACACTAAAAATGTTGTGTCCCAAAAAAGATCAGTCTTAACACATCGGCATCACAAACTCTTCTAGACACTAAAATCGCTTCACTTAACTAGGTAAGTGTGAATGCTAGCAAAGAGCATGAGTTAGAAATGGAGATATTTCAACTGAAAAAAAAAACAGAAAGAAGAGAAGTTAAAACCGGAAGAGATGAAAACCGAATTGCTAAGAATTCAAATAGAGCGAGCAACTAATGTACTCGTATAATGGTTGTTAATGCTAACGATGAAATAAATTTAAATACATTTTTAAACATTTTTTCAACTAATATAAGTCTGACTTTGTTTACTACTAAGGTAATACTTAACTGTTAATACTGTTATTTAAGAAATATTTGCAGTTTGCAAAATATTATTTATGTGATAACTTATTTTTTAATAATAATATATATTGTTTATGTTTATATTTTTTTATTATTTTAAATTTTATCAACCAATTGCTTTTTTTTTTTAATTTGAAATACTTAAATATAAAATTGTTTTCTTTTTTAAATTGTGTACACATTTATACATTATAATACATCACTTTAGTAAGCTTATTAAATAAATATATAATTCCATACAATCAATTTTTATTTTTTTATTATACTTTAGTTTCAATCATACAAATTTTAATTAGAATATTTTATTTATTATTAAGTTTTCAAAATTAATCTGTTTTTTTTTTTTTTTTATTAAGTTGAAATGTAATAAAATATAATATAATTAAGAACTTAATTTAATCAATTTAAATAATAACTTATCATAAAGAAATTACATTAATTATTATATAGTGTTCGATAAAATGTCACTGGTTAACATGTATGTGACAAATAGTCGAATGATTTTAAATCGATAAAATGCCATCACAATTCAAGAATACTATCAATGTTATCTTACGACTAATTTGTATTAAATAAATTAAATATAAAAATGGTTTTTTAGCATTTGATGACATATATCATATTTTTTAAAAATCACCTAGGAACTATTCCGGACGCTATTGCATATCGCCAATCACTTCACTGCAAAATCAACATTATCAAATCGTTATTGGTACCGGAACAAACAACTGCGGATAGTATACGCTACAAACCGTATTAAGAAATGAGTTGACATTTCTACAGCGTCTCCTTTTAAAACGTGTATACCAAAAAGATAATGTAATCGCAGTCATGGTTATTCCACAGATTAAATGAAAATAATATTTTATAGCCTATGGGTCTTTCTTGAAATCGTTATTTGTCCATGTTTCAGATCAATATTGTTCACTTTATCGTGGACTCGTTAAAACTATACAGCATACG